GGCGATGCAGTCTGTGGTAACAGACGAAAAACGTTACTGCACACAATTGTATATGCATTGAAGAGCACATGAACATGATTACGCTGTGGAAGTGGATTAAGAATAAGAAAACATGAATGCCGACCGGGGAGCGACACTGAAAACGAAACGTCGCTGGACCCCTCAACAGGTAGCTGAGATGTTGGAGAACGTCGTAGAACATGCAGCGAGGACATCATCGAAACCAACAGCAGTCTCGAGGCGACGTTGAGTGTGCATATCGCCGTGGAGAGGAGGCGCAACGCTGAGCTGCACTTGGTGACGAGCCATTGCAGTCAAGTATGGAATTATCGAGGTCATCATGTGATCGACCGATGCCTCCGTACTTTCAGCCAGCATGGTGCGCAGCGAATCCTCGGTGAGTGGTGGTGGACCACCAGCCGGCGCAGGAGGAGCAGAAGGAGCCATCTCCGCGGATTCAGCGGCGACAGGGAGTGCCGCAGGAGCTACCGCAGGGGGTGAAGAGTCCGGGGCAGGAAGCGCCGGAGGACCGGCTGATGACGCTGCTGTCAGGGGAAGTGTAGCAGACTGAGGGGCGTTCGAACCCTCGGTCTAGCCCTCCTGAGAAACAAGTCGAGTAATGCGTGGTGATGAGCAAGGTGCCGATGATTCAAGAGAAGGATGAGCTGACGTATCTCCAGCTGTTCACGTTCGCGACGTCGGCGAGGATTGAGACGCTGAAACACGTCGGACACGGCTCGGTTCAAACGCTCGGACATACGATGACTGGATGGTGAATTGGAGAATGAAGAAGTGTCACAACGGGCACCAGTACCGTGGCTTCCATTGCGACAGGGGCAGTTGTGGTGTAGTGATTTCTCCGTAGTTGCGGATTATCAACCGTCGACAAAGACGTGACACCGCCCAAGATGTTCAAGCGACGAACCCTCGGTCATGTGATGTATGGAGACGCCAAGGTGCAAGGGACTCGACGGCGTCACTTCCGAACTTTCAACGAGTATCGGATACGGCCATATGTCACTGAATCCAGGCTGTCATTATTATTAATAATGGACTGGCCGGATTCGCATTCAGCGGAGCATCTACGGTACGAACCCTCAGCGACGGTTGTGATGAGGTTGCAGAAGACTCAGCGACCCTTGGAAGGTACGTTCACCGTCTGGGACAGGGCGCAGACCGTTAAAGATACTCATGCGACGGTGCAGACGACGCTTGGCATGCAAGAAGATCCATAACGGATCATTGTTCACTTGATATTTGTATACTTGATTAGGACTTCTTATTAGGAATAGACCCGAAAGGGTAAGCTTGAATACAGAACAGAATTTCCACTCAAGCACACAGAGCGACGTCCGGCTTCAAGGTAAGCGTCAGGTCAAGCTTGTTTGATTGTGTTATGCCTGTCGGTGAACTCGAAGCTCTGTAGCGAGGGTTCATCCGGCAAGGCCAAGAGACTTTGTGTATTGGCCGACTATTATCGGGGGGGGTTACGTGACGGCTTATTGTTGCCTATTTGCACGACTGGGAGTGCTTGGATTGCCTCCCTTTTATTCTTCCAGCCGAGTGTTGAACACTCGGTGATCTCGTAAAAGGCTTACCCGTGCCTGGTACCCTTCCGCTGTTGGGACCACGAGGATCTATAACACCTGCTAGCTAGTAGCGTGTTCTTATTTTTACTGGTTGGCCTATATAAGTAGTTTACAAGGTCTAGTTTGTCCCGGTGCAAGGGCAGAACTGGGGTCTTCAGGTCCGCCCGAACGATTGTTTACTATCCTAGTAGACGTATTGTTGTGGGAACGTCCTAACTACATTTGTAGCTAGAGTTCACGTGGGATTTCCAACACCACAGAAGGCCTGAGATCTAAAATCATCAAGATCCAGGTGTACCCAAGATCCAAAAAAATATTCCTGATGGGGGGTATCTCGGATTGGGGGTAAATCGGTGATCGACCACGATATAATGATTGCGCCCCAGCCCTTGGCTGGGGAGATGGCCCAAGGAGAGAAAGGACAGCCAGCCAGACCTGGCAGATGATTTGGTGAGTAAAGGACAGAGAGGGTAAAGATCCAGGATAGTATAGGCTTAGCTTTAAATCAGAACTCAATTTGCAAAGTATCACGCAAGTGCCTTCCTGCCCTCAAGAGTCGGAACTACATTGGCTGTACGAGCTCAGTGAAGGTTGTGAATTGCACATCTTTCGTTGGTAGTGATAACTGGATATTATATTGGCCAGATTCTACCACCTATTGAGCTTTCCTTCACGCGTGCAGATACTTACCGCTCCTATAGCGGGAGCTTGAGAGATGAGAGACTCTTAGGTATACCCGACTGAGTAGTAAATTCGAGTAACGTTATGGATTTGCACGTGTGAAGGAAAGCTCAATAGGCGGTAGGATCTGGCCAATATAATATCCAGTTATCACTACCAACAATAGATCTGCAATTCACAACCTTCACTGGCCAATTTAGTTCCGACTCTTGAGGGCAGGAAGGCACTTGCGTAGCACGAAGCAAGTGAAGTTCTGATTTAAAGTTAAGCCTATACCTGCCTGGGTTTCTATCATGTTTGTATTTTTCCTGCTAAATCCCTTACCAGCTCCGCTGCCTGTCCTTTCTCTCCTTGGTCCATCGCCCCCGCTGTACCAGCTTCAGATCCTCCGGATCCATGGCGTAATCATTGTTAGATCGCCAGATTATGGGTACATTATCCCAGATCCAAGTATCTTTGGTCCACCACTTTACCAAGGTGTCCAAACTCCGTGAATCCGATCCCCCTAGTCATCCAACACCAGGTTACGAGCGTCTATAGTCTCCATCGCTTTACAAACGCTCAAGACTCCTTGAATTCACCGCCCATCCACAATAGATCCCAGTCACTCTGAGTGAGATCCTTGATCTGTTGGATCCGGACTCGGGAGAAGGGGATCTGGAACATTTAGTGGTGGAACTTGCCTTCACGCGTGTTATACATACCAGATCCACCTTCCTATGATGTACATAATCCTCCCTCCTTAGGGTTCCCACTAGATCCACCAGTACATGGTGGATTCCATATCCCCTAGGGATACTCGGGCGAGGGTGGATTCGGGTGGATCTTAATTATACAACCATCAATCTTCTTTCTCCAGCCATTCTTCGTACGCTTAGCCTCTGTTGTTCTTCAGTTCCATCATCTGCGGCCTCTCGTTCTCCGGTCCATCCCGTCAGCACCTATAGGATGTGGATCCGGGTACTTCACCCTTGGATCGCTAGCTAACGCTATCGTTCTACGCTATCTGCGTCGTCCGGAGTTTCACCATAGTAGTCTCGACCTTTGATCCACTTCGTATAGACTAGATCCTATTCAGATCCACTTGGTACAATCCAGATCCACCTGATACCGTCAATAATTCGTGATAACGACCACTCGTCGGATCCCATCTCCTATTTCTGAGAAAGCGCTTTACCACAAACCGGTTTAACAAATTTAGGGTTTTCAGGTTCGTTCTGGAGCTCGGCTCCCGATAAAGCCGCGCAGTGTTTTCGTTAAAGGTCGCGAAGCCCACTTCGTACGAACATGTTCGGACGTTTCACACATGTTCTCGACTGTCAGCACGGTCTCAAATGACCCATTTTAACCTAAAAAACCGATTATTGAGGTTTTTACCGGTTCGCAACAATCGGGAGAACCTTGGTTCGCTTCATCTGACTTAAGTGTGAGTCCACTTTAGCACGATTAAAAGAGAACTGGAGTTTCTGGAGTTGGTGTAAGGAATATCAAAGCAAAATCCGGTTTAGCCAATATAGATTTCAGTGTGGATTTATTAAGATGCTTCATTACTTAACTCCAGTGAAGTTGTGTGTTCTACTCCAAATTGCATTGCGTGATTGGTTAAATCTTCGGTGAGCCAAATCTCCGCCAATTGCGCAAAGCACTTGTTTGACTATGGAGCCTTTCTAAGTACGAGTTTTGGCTGAGTCATATGTCAAGCAACACCAAGAGGCGCGATTGGCGTGTGACATGATGTTTGTAAGTGGAGGCTTTAAAAAATTGCCTTACCGCTCATGTTTGTGCAAAATTCACAATATGAGGGGTGATCTAGCCTATTTTTGGAGAAAGCTTCGTGGCCCTCGATTAATAATGGAAGTGAGTATTTTGCCCGAATGGGGACTGTCTTCAAACCTACACCTAGCTGATTTTTTTAACATCCGTCGAGCGTATAGCGTATACCTGGTAAATACCAAAGCCTCTCAGAACCACAAATTCCCCCTCCAGTCAAAACGCGCGGCACCAGCGGGAGGAATATGGCGGCGCAGGCACGTAGCGCGCAAAAGCGTCCACTGGGGGCTGTGTACGAGAGTGACAGCAGCTAGGGAATGAGTCAAGCGGATTCTTGAGTGAGTGCAGCCGTCTCTAGGTCCCAATGGGCCCGAGATGCTCGGCACATCTAGTAGCGCGAGTGATGGAGCTGGGGAAGCAGCTTGTTATCGCTCAGCCCCCAAAACAGATCCAATTCGAGTCGTGAAAAGCTTTTGTGGACTATCTCAGGGTGTACCAAGCGCAATCGTTCCAGGTAACTTTGCACATTTAACAGCCATCTTCAAAGCGCATTAATACTCACTATATTTTGTAAATCTTTTCGGATGCGGACAAACACCACTGCGGCTGATCGAAACGCCGAAATGGACGTTCAGAGATCAAAGGCACCTCGATTTCCCGTTGAGTGGGTGCAGTATGCTCGGACTTTTGTTTGTACTCATCATGGCAAATATTAGTCGGCAAGAAACTCGAGCCTAAGGCTGAAATACACAGGTAAGACCTTGGCTTAACGCTCCAAAACACTATCATTTTGGCTGAATCGGGCAATTTCTGTCTGAGTCGGGCAATTTCTGGCTGAGTCGGGCAAGTTTCGGCTCAGTTGGGCATGCTGGGATTGGTTGGGCACGTTTGGAATCATAATCATTTCACTAAGAACTAATGACTCATCTCGTGTCTTTAACGTCCCACAGATCGATACGATATCTTAGTTTGCTGAGTAAAAAGGAGATTCAGTATCTGCGCTACAGATATCTGTGCATGTGCATTTAACGATAACAAGTTAGTTTATTTTTCTTATGCAGGCTAGTGCTGGATGTTCGCCACGATTTCATTTGATGGATACCTGGATGCTATGCATGCTATAGTAAAATGTCAGAATGCCACACACGTGTGTTCTTCTCTCTACATGCTTCTCTGCTCTCTCAATGAGCTTCCGGCTATACGTATACTTTCGAGGACACTTCATTCGATGACCCTCCGGCTCTAGCTAAGTCGGGCATATTCGGGAATGCCTGTCAGGTCAATTCTGGCACGGATGTCCTGTCACGTGTTGCCTATTCGGGCAAAATAACGAGTGCCATTAATAATTGCCCCATAGCTCCCGAAACTACAGTTCTCTAATGTCGATTTAAGTACGATTTAGGCCGTTTCAAAATAGCAGGAAAGAAGTGACTCATACAAAAATGGTCGGAATTCACAATACCTCGTTCGAACAACACCTCGCTTCAACAACAATTTCTAAAGCACCGTTCGCCTACGTCATGTCGTCGCTACAGCAGCACAAGTGCGGGGAGGCGGTGGCACAGCTCAAGCAAGCGGAGAAGGCTCTTGCCAAGCGCTCCTTCTTTCGCGGCTCGCCAGATTACCTTACAGCGGCGCCGTTGCTTGACAAAGCCGGTGAGCTGTTCCGCCTCGGAGGTGACTTCGAATCCAGCAAACAGGCCTTCGCACGTTGCGCTGAGGCTCAACAGCACAACCAGTCGCCATTCCGAGCCGCGCAGGCATGGGAGAATGTAGCCAAGACAGCGTTGCAGCAGCTCAAAGCTGAGCGATCTGGTGCACACGCCGCACAGCAACGCACTGCCGAGGCGCGCAAAGCTTACGAGACAGCCAGCAGCCTCTACGTGGACATGGGCGAGTTTGGCAAGGCCTCAGACGCGCTAGTTAAAGGTGCACAAGCCTGCGAGAGTCACGGCTCCAATGTAGATGATGTACTGCCTCTGTATTGGCGTGCATGCGACCTATTGGAAGCACAGGACAAGCCTCACTTCGCGGTCGAGACGGTCCGCAAGACGCTGAGCTTTTTGGTGAAATATGGGAAATACCGCGAGGCCATGAAGGTGATGGACCGCCTGACAACGCTGTACGAGGCCATGGACCAGCGTCATAACGTGCACAAGATGCACTTGAGCCAAGTGATCTTAATGCTGGCATCGGGCGACGTGCCTGCTGCCGACGCCTTATACTCGCGTTGCTTGCAGGATGACTCTTTCTTGTCATCAGACGACTGCGCACTGGCTGAGGACCTTGTTCGCGCATTCAAGATGGGCAACGAAGAGCTACTCCAGGCCACAGTACGAAAGCCCGGCTTCATGGCGCTAGACAACCAGATCGGACGGATCTGCCGCAAATTGTCAGTCTACGGATCTGGAGACGCCCCACCGCCGCAGCAGCGCCAACACAGACCGGCTCCTTCCAGTGGAGGAGGCTTGCCTTCACAAGAGCAGCAGAAACAGCGTAACTTGTTAGCGCCATCAGCACGTGCAGCCCCTGCCCAGCGTAACCCGTTTGCGCCATCTGCACGAGCACCAGTTCCAGTACAAGCTCCTTCGTTAGACTCTGAGTACGATGTTCCAGCTTCTGAAGCGCCAACTTCGTCGAGTACAGACGTGCGTGACAGCGACTACGATGCCATGTTGGCCGAAGCGCTGGGGGAAGTCATCGTTTCCAAAGACACAAAGAAATCCTCAAAACTCGCTTTAGTTCAGACAGAAAAGCGGAAGCCTCAGAAACCTTCTTCGCTTACTACCCAATCGTCCTCTCTGTCACCTACGTTGGTGCATTCCCCACCTCCGGCAGCAGCTCGTGCTAGCGTTCGCATGGACTACGAGTTGGATGATCTCGAGTTCGCCATGCCAGACTCTGACTCGCTTGAGTTCTTTATGGACCCGAACGAACCGGCAGGTGCTGGTTACTCGGATTCGTTTGAGGCGGCTGCAGCACCAGCTCCGAAGGCAGAACCCTCCACTTCAGCGTCCAAACCTGCACCCAAGCCCGCAGCTCCTGTCTATGACGAGTTCGACCTCACCTAGATTGCACATCCAGAAGATCTTGTAGCTTAAGGTAATGGTGCTTGTTGCTCAAGCCCAGGTCTGGGCTAACAGCATGTAGTACTTCGAGTCGACCGCAGAAAGCTCATCAATGAAAGCATTTGTTGAATCTCAGTTAAGGTCGCGTACTAGCAAAATTTCCTCTTGTCTCGCTTCTAGTTGCTTACGTTCGCTACGAGTCCTGCCGGATTTCGTTCCTCCAGATCCTGACGAAGGCTTTAAAGGCGGAGTAGAACTCTTGTTACCGCTAGTGGGAGTTGCCGTGAGATCCGTCTTCGTTTTTGCTACGTTCACAGACGCAGTAGGTGGCGGTCTCTTGTCGCGGTGTCTGTAAGCAGAGCCGACAAGACCCACGTTACCGACGCCACTCACTACACACGACTTGACCTGAGTATGTTGACGCTTGTAAACAGCCTCGAGCTGCTCGTGTTCATGAACAAGGTCTGCAAAAACGATGGACTTGCCGACGGAGATCGCGCTGGAGTCCACACGAGATCCGTCTAATGCTGAATATTGCGGAGCGTTGGGGTCAACACGCCGGACAGATCGGATACTGTGTACCAGTGTGTCAGCCTTGGCACCCGAAATGTCGGACGTGATGTTGGTATCTCGGTAGTTGCGTCGATGGGCCATGACGATGCCTGCCACGATTGCCGTTGCTGGATCAGTGCAGCTTGCACCTTCGATATCGTCTGTCTTCAGTGCGTAGCTAGGTTTGTCTCGCTTGGGGTGCTGAGCGAGTGGTCGTGAGCGAGGATCATCGCCGACTGTCATGCCGTTGACAGTGTAGACGGGATTCAATACGTTTCTATCAAGAGTAGACTCGTTTTAGCGGTTGGGTAACGACGAATAGACACTGATATACTCACGTGATTCGACTCGATTTAAAGTCGCCGTTGGTGATATCCTGTACGTTCAAAATATCCCGCGGGGGATGCTCACGCAGTCCTCGCTTATGACGAGGTAGCCAGCCTGCTTGAGCTCCTGCAATATCATCCTGCAGTGGACATCAGTAGTCATGCGGTGAATTTGGGGTATATTTGACTACTTACCAACTTCAGGGCATCTCGCGGATGTTGGATATCACGGACCTTGATCGATGTGCCATCGATATCGGCCACATTATAGCTATCGCGCAAGAACTTTGGCTCAATCTACGGAGACGTCCATAGCATGAGAGGAATGCAAAGATCATTGCTGCAGTTTTAGAGTTAAGACGCACCGGTGGCGCGTTTGTGAAGGAAGGGAGCTTGTAGCTCGGCTCTAATGGATTCACGACGCGCTCCGTTCGAAACCCTGCTGGTCGTGATGTGGTGCCCTCGATGGGAAGCTGTCTGAATCGATCATCGCTTCCTGCACGCCAGCGCTTCGGGTGCAGCTCCATGCTCGTGGATCCCTTGATATCGTGCGCATCGTAGAAGTGCGGTTTGTTGACGTACATGTGGTTCTTGAGCAACGGTCTGGTGCCTCGGATGTCGGTCACATCGTTGGTGACTCGATCTGGACTTCGTTTGGACGGGGGGGCTCGACCACGGTCCATGAAATAGTGCAGTTGTTGTTGTTGTTGCTGCTGCTGCTGCTGATTCAAGCCTCGTGCCGACGTCGGCGGAAGCGGCTCCATGGCCATGGTTGATGTTGACGTAACAAAAGTCGCTCCCTGCATCAAGCTTTCATATTTTTAGGCTGCACTCAAATAAGTTAAGCACTATTCTATTAAGGGAACCTTCTATAATGGGTTTCCTACCAAAGAAACCAGCTCATTGATAGCTTGGGTACGTAGCCCTTAGTATACCCCCAGTTACATGAGGGATATCTGGTACGGTACCAGGGTCGTCCGAGGCCAACCATTGGCTGATGACATTGCTTTTATATAGGTGACTTATAGTTTATTTAATTAACTCAAGCTTAGCCTACCTATAAATATACTCAGTTTACAATCTACCTTAAATTGGTCACTTCGCTCCCTTTAGGCAAAGGGGACCTGTGAACTACCGTTCACTGAGAGTTTGTACACTCTCGGAAGCCAACTTCCTCTAGCGCAAGGTACTATGTGGCGTCGCACTTGGTAGTCAATCCACGCCAACGCGGGTAGACTACCTGAACCTCTCTGAAGTTCGTTGCCATGGATAGGAACGACTTCTCCCATCTGAACGACTCACAGTTCGAGTCGGTTCGGAAGATGGCTGGCATCTTCGGGATGGAGGCCCTGCAGAGCCTGGTGGCATCAACACCGGCCGAGCAGCTCGAGCGCATCAATGCGTTTGACGCTTACGAGCAGGGGCTCACGCACATATGCGGAAAACCTGCAGGCTCCGGCGGCGGAGACAAATTCGCCACACCCGAAGCCAGTACGGCTGAAGGTTAAGCCGTATGAAGGGAAAGAAGGTGAGAACCTTCAGTTCTGGGCTCGAGAAGTAGAGCTCGCGATGGACGCGGCTCTGAGCTCGACCGAGCAACTCCGTGTTGCTTTTGCACTATCCAACCTAAGCGGTCGTGCTAAGAGTTGTGTGTACACGCGGGAGACGACATCCCCTGGATGTTTCACATCCTGGGCTCCGCTGTGCGAACAGCTCCGAGCCGCGTTCCTCCCAGCGAACTACGAGTACCGGCAGCGTTCGCGCTTCCTCTCATGCAAGCAAGGAAGACGCGAGCTGCACGAGTACGTTCAAGAGATGCGAGAGCTCATGGCTTCTCTAGTGGGCAACTTACTTAACGAACACATCAAGGTGACTGTGTTCATGAACGGCGTTGGAGTGGGCCCGGAGCGCACTCAGCTGTTCCGGGTGCAGTCAAGCACCCTCAAAGAGGCGATTCCAGCAGCTCTTCAAGAAGAATACAGCCATCGCCAGGCGCGCACGCCGGCCTCAGCGTGGCCAGGAAATTCTGTGCCGAATTTCGGCCGGGCTAACCCCACCGGGCCAGTTCCCATGGAACTCGGGTCCGCCGAGCAGCGCGACATTCGCTGCTTTGGCTGCGGGAAGCTGGGCCACTTCAAGCGTGACTGTCCCGCGAAGAGACACCGCAGGCGGACGTTCCCCATGCCCGTCTTCAAGGGACGCTGGCAGAAGCCATGATCCCGGGGACAGGGGATCACCGGAAACCAGTAGGGGCGGGGCGTCCTACTGGGGAAGAACTAAGTCTTCGTGATGGGTGCGCGGGTGGCGCGCACCACGGGAGCTTATCCCCTGAGAGTCTTCGCACTCTCGAATCGGCGAAGAGCAGCGGCGGGTTGCTCGTAGTACACGGATGTGTACGGGGATACGATCATCCCTTTAGAATCTTGATCGATTCTGGGGCGTCGAAGAATTTCGCACGCCGCCAGACGGTCTCTCGTAATAGCAACAAGTTGTCGGATGCTTTGAGAGAAAGCAAAGGCAACGGGACGGTGCGACTGGCCGACGGGAAGGTCGTCACTGTCCCCAATGTCCAAGTGGATCTGGCCGTCAAGTTTGAAGACTGTGACAGTCCAGAATGGTTTACTGTTCTCGACATGGATCCCTACGATATGATCCTGGGCATGCCCTGGCTCGCGAAGCACGAGCCCTGGATCGACTGGCGAGGCAAGGCAATCGGTGCCAGTCGCCCTGCGAAGGCTGACAGAGCATTGGTGAGTCGGGTTCCCACCTCTGTCGGGACCCGGGGCGCCCGTAAGTACTCCCAGTGTACCGAAGCATCCAGCAGATGCTTGGAAGTCGTCGACGTACATGACGACTCCGAGGACGCTTCGATGGTGGCGGCGCCCAGAAGATGCGCTGGCCAAGTGGGTAACTTAGGTCCACAAGCGGGTAACATAGTTCTGCAGACAGCTTTAGCTGTCACGAACGCTGGTGATAGCGTGTCCAAGGTGGGTAACAGCGTTCCACACACGGTCGCCCAGACCTTAACTGAAGAGGAAGACGTCGGATACGCTTCCTATGTGGGTAAAACAGTGCCACACACGGTCATCCAGACCATAACTGAAGAGGAAGACGCGGGACGCGCTTCCTGTGTGGGTAACATAGTATCACACGAGGCCTCGAGTGTCTCGGATGCCGGCACCTCGACATCCCCAGACGTGGGTAACGAAGTTTCACGTCACGGTCGCCGTCGACGATAACGCCGCCGGATCTGAACCTCGTTCAGATCGCCGTCGCTTCAAGCGACACGGAGTCCAGGTCCCTGGCTCCTCCGACACGGCCGGTGGAAGAGTGTTATCACATCTTCCGGTTTACCCGTCAAAGCATCTGGTGTCCATTTGGAACCGTTGGCAGATATTGCAGAGATACTGAACCTCGAGGGAATGACGGTCGAGGCTTTCCTGGCTAACCTCAAGGCTGGGAAGGTAGCCGAGATGGTGCTCATATGACCTGAGACCACTCGGGAGGAGCTAAACTCCTCCTCTGTCTTGGACGAGGACGTCCTGGAAGACCTGAACAAGCAGCGTCAGACGCGCTTGGGCTCCGAGATCCTTAAGAGCCCCAAGGATCCGGTGTATCCTTTGGTGGCGGAGTATGCGGACGTGGTGAACAAACACCCACCGACCCAACTCCCACCAGATCGAGGTGTACGGCATGAGATTGATCTCGTGCCTGGCACAAAGTACTGTGTCACGAGACAATGGCCTCTTCCGCGCGAACAGTGCGAGGTCATCGATGCCTTCTTCGCTGCGAAAGCGAAGGCAGGCATGGTGCGGGAGTCGAAGTCCCCGCACTCGACACCAACTTTCTGCGTTCGGAAGCCGATCGGAAAGTGGCGTCTAGTTCATGCTTATAACAAGCTGAACAACGCGACGATGCCGGCCCAGACACCAATCCCACGAAAGGATGTGCTGTTGAACAACATGGAAGCGTACTGTACAGTGCGCCGGATTTGGTAGACGGATACTACCAGATCCTGATGCGTGAGAGCGATATCTCGCTCATCGCGGTGAGCACTCCAAGCGGCATGCTTTGGGAGTGGATCATCATGACGCAGGACTTGTCTAACACCCCAGCGACATTCAACCGCCTGGTGACGCAACTGTTCAGGCTATTACGTACCTTCGTACAAACGTACTTCGACGACATCATCGTGCCGAGGAAGGCAAGACGGCCATGGAGGTGCATCTAGGACACCTCCGTCGAGCGTTGGACGTAATGCGAGAGAACAAGCTCTACGCCAACATCGACAAGTGCGTTTTCGCGTCACCAGAGATTAAAGTTCTCGCTTGCTTCGTAAGCAACGTGGGCGTTCGGGCTGACCCAGACAAGGTCAAGGCCATAGCAGCATGGCCGACGCCCCGATCCCAGAAGGATCTTCGAAAGTGGTTGGGCTTGGCCAACTACCTTCACAAGTACAGCGCAGGGTACGCGGGCTTCGCTAAGCCCTTGTCAAGTTCCGTGTTCACCTTCTGGGCTCTAGGCCCTTTGTGATCTACACAGACCACGCGTCCTTGAGGACGGCGACTAACTCGCCTCACCTCTCCCAAAAGGATGGCGAGGTGGCTGTCCTTCTTCGCGGAATACAACTTCTGCGTCGAATACAAGCCGGGCAAGCTCAACGTGCTTGCGGACGCCCTCTCTCGGCGTCCCGACTATGAGTTGGCCCACATCACGCGGGTGACAACGGATCTATGTGATCGGATACGCATGGCGTATCGGGACGATGAGGCTGTCGCGCCTATCGTCAAGTTCCTTATGGCCGGAACGAGCGCGAAGTCCGACTGGCTCTCGTTGCGACAGCGCTCACGGCTCCACCGATATGAGTTGACTCTATTACCAGGTGGAGCCCAATGAACCCCCACGGGTTGTCGTACCCAACGACGAGGATATGAAGTTTGACATCCCCGCGGAGGCGCACGACTCACCCTCCAGTGGCCACTTGGGTCGCGAGAAGACCTTCTTGTCGGTCTCTCAGGTCTTCTGGTGGACCCACATGTACAAGTGGGTCGCACGATACGTGAAGACATGTGAAACATGTCAGCGGGGCAAACACGCAGGTCACGCTTCGGCTCCACTACAGAGCCTGCCGTACAGGCTGACTGTTGGAAGTCGATGAGTCTTGACTTCATCTTTAGGCTTTCCGCCGACGGACACGGCAACACCGGAATTTTGGTGTTCGTGTGTCGGCTGAGCAACATGGTACATCCCCCTCCAGTACCCGTTACCGTCACAGGCGAACAAACCGCGAGGTTGTTCGTCGATGGCGTGTTCCGCTATCACGGTCTCCCGGAGACGATTGTCTCGGACTGAGACCCGCGGTTCACGGTCGCGTTTTGGAAAATGCTGTTCCCTTTACTAGGAACTCGTCTGCAGATGTCCACTGCGGACCATCCACAGACACACTGCCAGACGGAGCGCGTTAATCGAGTGCTCGAGGACACTCTGCGCAGTGTGTGCGCGGAAGCACCACGTACGTGGTCGACGCAGCTTCCAGTAGTTGGGTTTGCGCTCAACAACGCAGTGCACGCGTCCCCGGGGTCCACACCGTTCTACTTGAACGGCTTTCGTCATCCCGGAGTGCCTCTCACTCTTCGAGGAGACACTGCATCCTCTATCTTAAATTGAGGAGAGGCTCGGAAAGCTCTTTCCTCCCAGGGGTCAGATGTGAGACCAGTTTCGCTGCGGAAACAAGTGGAATCCTTTGTGGATACTAAGCTGAGCGTTATCAGCAGGGTCCGCGATGCCATGGCAGGGGCCCAGGA